GTTTGATGCTGTATGTGGCTAGTAGGTCGCTAAATATATCCAATTTTAAATAACATTCAAATTACACACACACAAATTTTAAAAGAAATAAGATACTTTCTAATTGGTCAGAGTGTTGAGCTATCTGTCTGCTTTCAGCAATAACGAAAACCAAAAGTCTATCTTTAACGCCATGCCTTCCTTCGTCTCAAGTTGAGATGCCATTTTGCTCATGCATATAAAACTTCTTATTTGTGATGTAAGAGAGGAAACTGTCATGAGGCAAAGGAAAAATGTTGCCGCTTAGTCCAAACTATATGGTCAGGTACACCGGACATGTTGAAAACAAGGGACAGTGCACTACTTTTCAGAATCGGGTTTGTAATCTGAGGGGAATGGGATTACAGGATTGGTCTGAAGGGGTTGTAGTCTTGCACAAACAAGATTGCTGGGTAAATTCAAAAACTGAAATCCAGTTTGGTCTTTAACTTGCTAATGACCTATACATAGACCTTTTTGGTCGGATCATCTGTGTTTGTTTTGATCTGTGGGGTTCTTACTAATTATAACTTCAGTGTGTAGTAAACAGCATTCTTCAAGCTTTCTTCATTGCCCCCCCCCCATACTGTATAGACTGAATGGTAAAAGCTAGATAATACAGTTAAGGCAGGAAAACAGATAAATATGTAAGCCCTCAATACCTGTCAAGAGCATTTCCTCAAAAGGAGACTTGCAGAAATTACTGGACAGGATAATTTTCATCAGATTTCTTACCTCCTCTAGCTGTTTCTGGATTAACAGGGTTGAACTTCCTCCCTTCAAAAAAACATTACAGCCCCTTCTGCAATATTGTGATTTCCACTGGCATGTGACAGAAATTCCAGGCAGTGCACATGCTGTGGTTGAAGTATTTGTAGTGAAATGGGAGCTGAAAGAATGTCTCCCTTCCAAAAATAAAAAAATAAAATTGTCAAGCTGAAGGAAAACCCTTCTGACCAAGAGCATTCAATCCCTTTTTCTACAATCAAGGTTAAGCACCTGAAGCTCAGTTCAAGGAAGAGGCAACACCAGAGAATTCAAAGACCATCCATCATTTTATAGTGGATATTTGACAAGAAGTCTGGAGCCTTTTAAAAAACTTTCAGAGCAAGAGATCAAAATAAACAAAAAGCCAACCAATTCTTAGGGGTGGTGAATTTTTTTTATTACAATGTTTCCTGAAGGGTTTTGAATGTAGGGCAGGAAAGGGGAACCTGTGTTCCTCCAGCTGTTGCTAGACTCCAGCTCCCATCAGCCCCAGGAAGCATGACCAACAGTCAGGGATGATGGGAGTTATAGGCCAACAATATCCCATCAAACTCCCATCATCCCTGACTTCTTGGGAGTTATAGGCCAACAATATCTGGTGAACTAAAGGTTTCTGCAACCCTTCTTCAGGGAGAAAAGATGAAGCAAGCAATCACAACAGGATATAAGAATATTCTGGCTATCTCCTAATGAAAAAATGTAAACTTGCCAAAATTTCTCAAGCAAATATATGCAGATGTAATTTGCATGTGTCCATTATGATCCCTTTCATTAGCCTTTTCACATGAATAATCTTCTTATTGCCCATCCTTTCTTAAAGATGCACTAAGATATATCTTTGTATGCCAGCACTCACAAGTATGAAAGACAACATGATGCTACACAGCATTACTGCTCTGGAAAGTATCTGTGGAAGATGCCATTATCTTTAAAGGACATGGGGGATGTAATTGCTTGTGTAGCCCACTTCTATAGGACTTTGTCATACTGCAGACTAATTGCCTAGAGGCAAACATATCCTGGGTAGCAAACCACCATTTTATTAGTAGTAAACAGGATGGCTTTTTTGTTTAGTGTGGGGTATGTGCATGGACAACTTCCACAAACCGACAAGTGCCATTATGGCTCACTATAACTAATACATTGCTATGGACGTCATGCAAAATATACTCCCTTCTGTTCCAGCTGCACCTTCTGCCAAATATATTTTTCAGACATAAGATGACTTCTTTTTCTTAAATCTGCTTATTTGAATGTAGAATACTATTAGTCTGGAGTAGCTTTAAAATACGTTTCAGAGTGCTCAGTGTGACCTATATCTGTCCTTTGGGATCATAAATCACTGTACTGTTGACTGCTAGTCCACAGCATCTCCTTCCTTCTTTTAGTCCTATCTGCCCAGTATCAGAATTTCTTATTTTAGTTCCTCCTTCCCATCCATTTCTATTCTACTTCTCACCTCAAAAGTTACAGAAAGTAGCTCATAACAATACACAACACAATTGTAGATATGAACTGCTATGGCTTTTGTGGAGTCACCTCCCTGCGATTTCTTCCTAAGCTCTCTTTCACTATTATGATCTGTTTGGTAAACACACAATCACAGACAAAAAAGAATTACCACAGATGCGGACATTAGTCAACAACATTCCATTGCGCCACAGATGGGAAATGCTGCAAGAACATTAGTCTATTTTTTCCCCTTCGGCTATGAGATACCATTCCACAGGTACACATGCACACAAACAACAGGCAAGCGACAACAGACAAAGATAATACACGAGTCTCTAATGTTTCAGCTTTACCTACAACCGTGTCCTTCCATGAGAACCTTTAAGTGATTTGCTTCTGGCACTAGCATTAGCAATCCCACACTATAGACTGTTGAGAAAAATGTTGCTCAACATTAGAGACAAGTACAAGATATTCAAGTGATTGTGGGGGTCTAAACAGCATTTTAGGAGGTTACTCAAAATACCCAAACAAACATTTGGAAAACATGCATTGCATAGTTGTACTGCCCCTTAGGGTGGCCAAGTGCAAAAAGAGGACACGGATTCTGCCCCATATAATAGGGAATTTCCTCTTCAATACATGTGCTGAGGGGAATTTTGCCTTCACAAAGGATGCATGGATCCTGCCCTCTTTTACACCTGACCACCCTACTGCCAGCGGATTGTGTAATTCTTCCTAGCTGCACACAATCAAATATGTGAAATCCAAGTGGGAAAATGGTATGCAGATATGGCAAAGACAAACATGTCTAAAATAAAGGACAGGGGCACATTTATGTCTGAATAAAATCACTTAACTGAAACAGGATTGGACTCAACAAAGGATCATCAATTTCCTCTCTCTGGATTTACTAAACATTGAAGAAGGAAGTGATCAAAAGGTGAGAGGGTTGGCATGTGCTTCTTTAAGCTACAAAGTGAGCACCACCTTTCTTTCCCCTCATTTCTACATCACACCTTTTGCCATTTACTGCCATCTTATCAACATAGGAAGCTGCCTTATGCTGAGTCAAATATTATTCCAACCACTTCAGTTTATTTTCAGTGCTGGCTGGTTTCAGACAGGCATCACTTCTATTCCTATCTGGGGATGCCAGGGATTGGACATGCAAAGTAGCAGAACACTACTGAGCTAAGGCCCTGAAATAGACTCAGGTGGGTAATGAGACCATATGAAATATGACCATGAAACAGGTGCTTGTGCATGCAGATACAGCTTCCTATTCTCTTCTGTATTTTGGTTTCAGAAACCAAAATATAATCCCTGTGATGTTACATTCCCAACTGTCAGTGAGCAGGAATTTTGCAAATTACACAGCTCCCTCAGACACCACAATTTCTTTCAGCCACTGTGTTACCTTCAATGTCCCCCACCCAATAATGTCTATTATCTGAATCCCCATCAATAACACCAAATTTTGCACAACCCTCCCTCGCCACTGGAATAAAGAGGAAAGTCAAAGTAGGCAATCATGACTAATTTGGTTTGATTACAAAATTATTCTTTCTGGTTTGAGAATTTGGCATTTCTGAGTAATAATAGTTTATTATTTATACCCCGCCCATCTGGCTGGGTTTCCCCAACCACTCTGGACAGCTAGAAATTCTGGGTGGAGTAGAAATTTAGACCTTTTCTGCTCACTAGACACTGATTAGGAACACAGGCTTTGCACCCAAGTATTGCCCCATCTAACGATTCCCTACATTGACAATAAGCTGGGGTTTCAATCAGGGAATATTCCCAGACCTACCTGGAGATGCCATGGATTAAACCTGAGACTTACGCTTGCAAACACTTTGCCACTGAGCTACGTCACTTCTTTGATTACTTGATCAAAAGCATCATGAAGAATCTGAGAACATGAATGGAATCTGCACAGGACCAAGTATTCTTCCTTCTCCATCACACTCATAATGACCTAGGCTTTTATCAGCCTGCTTTAACTAACTTTCATTTTAAAAGGGACAACACTCCAATTTGGGGAGTCAGAAAAGAATGCAAACTAACCAGTCCTAACTAGAATGCATGGCTGTTTAATTCCCTTTGTGTTCTCCTGCCTGTCACACACCTTTCACCCTAATCAGGTCCTTCCCGGAAGTGTTTTGTGTATCATCTGTCTGCATGAACCATTAAATCTCAATTTAATTGCTAATCCGCCTTGCTTGCGGGCAGAGGTTGTCCTGCCAATGATGCATGATGTCATTTTTCTAAGCCAACTCCAAATTGGCTTTTCATAAGCCCTACCTCTTGTAATCATATATTTCAGTGACTGGTTCATGTTCCAATGGGGTAGGTAGAATACAGGCAGCACTTTGATGGTCATGAAATTCAGATGGCCTTTTTTTTCTGGGTCCAGACTACTGTAAAAGTTCCTGTCTGGTTTTATTCTAGAGAACAACTGCTTTTAAAGTTTTCTGCTTCCAAGTCTGTGGGTGTGGCTTGGAAGCGTGATTTTAATTCCCAGGAAGTCTGCAACTTAAGCAAGTTTGTGCCCATCATAGTAGGGAGCTGTTTAGAAACATCTTCTTTCCTTCTGAATTTTGGATTCCAAATGAAACAACTCCCTAACAATAAACCTACTTTTTATGACTTTTGAAAGAAACATTTAACAAGGGAACTGACTGAGGATTCACAGTTCAGGGGCTACAAAAGCTTCCCTCTGCCTGCCATTTTGGCTGACGGTCATCTTCAATGCTTACCTTGTACGCAGCTTGCCTCATAAACTGCTTTGCCGGCTGCTTCCAGATAGCTGGCACTGTGATAACCCAGCGCACTTCTGAGTTTTCAAACCCGGAGTCCTGATCGCTCAGCTCCTGGAATAAAAGAAAGCAAACTTGTGGTGAGAGGCAAAATTGACACCAGCTGTTTCTAGAAGTGATGTTGTTTCCCAGTGGCTCCTGTGAAAATAATTTGACACTTTTCATGGTTTCTCTTGCTATGTCTATGTCAGGCTGTTTAAATAACTGGCTGGCATGCCAAAAATGCATAGAATGTCGAAACCTGGGTTTCAGTTGCACCTTCAAGGAGGTCCATAGGAAAACATACCACGATGAAGGGCAAGTTCTTCATCTTACACAAACAAAATCAGGCAAATACAAGAGCGTACCTTATGCCTTTGTAGTGAAAGCGGTAGGTTGCTCTAAATTGATGCTCCTAAGCATTAATCAGACTGAGAAATATTTGCTGTGTTGAAGAGGCATGGGAGTGTTCCCTTAGTTTAGACATGCACGCGAAAAAGGCTCTGCCACTATAAGCCTCTATAGTTTATTAAAAATGGCATCTGCTTAGCTTTTGTAACTTAGTACTTGGTACCCATGATCTACTTGATGAGGTCTATGAATGTGCCACATTTCAAACCAATCTAATAAAAATTGCCTTAGGTCCAGCATGTTTAAAAATGTTTCTAGAGCAAAAGGGGGCACCAAATGGTGTTTTTAAGTGAGGAAAGGGTACAGGGAGAAAAGTCCTCCCCTCTCCCCATGGTCCCAATAATAACAGAAACAGTTAACGGATTCTTCAATCTGCTGCCAAGACCTGTCAAGAGATTTCATCAATTTTACTGTATCTTAGTTTGTTTCTGCCCTTCATTTAAGCAAGTGCCATACATTTTAATTCTATGTATGTTAGAAATTGTATGGTTTTGGTTATTTGTTTTCAGTTTTGGTTATTTGTCTGCAGCTATATAATAAAATGTGTTGTCATACATACTGAAGTTTGGTATGTCTATGGTGTTTATAGAGACCCTGCATGTATCAATGATGCTTAGGAAGACCCTGCATTCGTGGAACTGTTGCAGTGGTGAACCTCCTCAGTTACGTATTATTTTGTTCTTGGTGTTATACAAGCTCCCTCGTGTTTCTCACTCATCCTGATAGTACTTGCCAATAGAGCTATCTTGTTATAAAACACAGTTTCTGCTGAAACACAAGCCAAAAACTAACATGGGTGGGCTCACTTTATGCTGGCAACTATTCCAATGAATCATAATGCTGTCAAAATGAATGTGATACGTTGCTATGGCAATCCTTTGTAGAAATCCTTGCATCATGACTTTCATTTGGGTTATGTGCTATCCGGGATACTTCTCGCTATTTGTATATGTATTTGTAATTCTATGGTGTGCTGGCTGTTTTGGTGTAAACAAGAAAATTATTTTATTAGAAAAGAAAGTACCGGGGATGTTGTACAAGCAAATCATATCCCGAGTTTGGTATTCCTGCCATCGGGTAGCATATTTTTTCCTATCTTTTTTGCTGTAGTTGTGGGTGGGGGAAAGATGTAAGAGAATAAATTAAGCCTACTCAAAGCACACACAAAAGCAGAGTAGGTTAATTTTCTAGCAATCTGCTTAATTAAGCTTGGCAAACATGAGACTCTTAATATCGGGGTTGTGGGTTGGAGCCCCAAAATGGGCAAAGGATTGGTGCATTGCAGGGGGTTGGACTAGATGACCCTCAGGATCCCTTCCAACTCTACGATTCTACAATGTAGAGCTGGCTCTGCAGCAGACTAGCCTTCAACACCACATGAGCGCCTGCTCTGTGACAAAGAATTGGAACCATGGCCGGCCCATTTAAAACTGCACACCTTAGCTCTCCCATCTGGAGAAAGAGTAGAGAGAACAGAGCTAGCAGGTATTTCACTACCAATGCAGGAAAAGGCTGAAGGGGAGCACTTCTCCTGGCACCTGATTCTCTAACTAATGGGGAAAATAGTGTTTGGGCTTTGTGGGCTAAGTAATCATATGCTGGGCAGACATGGGGCAGGGCAAAGACACTGTGCTGCCTAGTGTGAAAGACAAGATGATGCCCTCCTAACACAAATAGAAGACAGCCAAGCTGGCGGCAGAACCTAATTTCAGCACTGTGGAGGGGACAGCATCCTCCAGCTGAGGACAGCAGGCTAACTTGGGAGGCAGATGCCACAGGGCACAGACAGCTCTGTCTGACAACACCTCGCTGCACCCTCTCCCTGAACCACCCGCCACCTGAGGTAGCCAGCCTGTGCTGCCCAATGGTGAGGCCAGACCTGCCAGGTGGACAAGGAAAATGGGGGGTGGGTGGGGCAGCAGAGGAAACAACTAGTTGAAGAGAATCTAGGAAGGAACAAGGGGAATTTGGGCCATTCATACACCTTCAACAAGCTCACAAACAGGACATGAAGGTGATGGCCTTACCTTGTTTTATCCCCAGAATAATCTAAAACACAGAGGTATTTAAATACAGAACTATTAAGGCTATCTTTATCAGCCCCATTGCCACTTCTTGTGGCAGGGAGTTCCATAGCTTAATTATATGTACATGTGGAAGAACAAATGTATTGCATTGTGAGGCTGCCTGAATTTGTTTGTCTGCTCATTTCTGCAAAGACAGGGAAGTCTGGGGGGCAGGAAGAGAGGAGCAATATAGCACAAAGTATACCACAGCATAGCAACAAAAGTTGGGATTTAATTTGGCAGGTCGTCCCCGTCCCCCCCAGTTTTGAGCACTGAACTTTTATTAATTCCTACATAGCTAGAGTACAACCAACAGCATATGAATTATGGAGTTCTGCAGAAATGTCTTGCTGGTGAGGAAGAAGGTTGTATCTAAGTATCTAGGACACCTCATCACCATCACCGTTTCTGCATCTCCTGCAGCTGCTCCACTTTGTTTACATCAAGAACTGCTGCAGGCTGAAGTATGGCAAGGTTAAATTTGTTGGGCCAGCATTTGTCGCAGTTATAAATACAAAGAGCTGGGGACAGGAAGTGTTCCTTTACCTTTAATGCTTGTTCCTTGAAGTACTGCAGAGCGTAAGAAAATAGTTCAAGTGCCTTGACTTTCTTGCCATTTGCAGCTGCCAGGTCTGTTTCCAGATTGAGATTCTAGGGGGGAAGGAAATGTTTAGAACATGTTTAAAAGGAAGCGGTAAGTGTCAAAATCCATTCATCTGAGGTGGAAAGAATGGAATTTGCTATTGCTGAGCTCCATCACTTAGGTAAAAATGTGACTCCAAGCATTGCACCTTTTCCTTTTGACAGTGAAGTTCACCATTCAGCCTTTCCCAACCTGGTGCCTCCAGATGTTTTCAACTACAACCCTATTCAGCCCCAATGGTCAATGGCCAAGGATCATGGGAGTTCTCATCAAAAAATATCTGAAGGCCACCAGGTTGGCGGTGTCTAGCTGTGACATTTTTCATTTTCATAAAGGATCAAGCTTTTTGCTTGTTGGTTGTGGTTTCAAAGTAGGGCAGATTTTACCCCCTATGCTGCTTTCTGTGTGCCCAGCAGCTATTAAATATGATTTTAATTCCTAAAATGTATACACTGGTTGATTGTAACCCCCCCCAAAAAAACCCCTCAAAGCACTTTACAAAAGATAAACCAGTTAAATTATGGAAAAAAATACAACCCTACTTTAAAACATACAAATGTACTAAAACAGCGTAGAATTACTTCAACTTTCTAAGCATCTAGGTAGGCATGTGTAAACAGGGGTGTTTTAGCAGGCACCAAAATGAGCTCAGGGAAGGCACTTGCTTGATCTCAATAGGCAGAGAGTTCCAAAGTTAAGGCGCTGCCACTCCAAATGATCCAAGTTCTTAGAAAGGCGGAACAGGTATTATGAGGCACTTGTGGTGGTGCCAATTCCACCGATCAAAGAGGTCAAGTGGGCACATGTAGGGTGAGGTGCTCTTCTAAGTGTCAGAGATGACATGCAACTGGGGAAAATGTGAGCACAAGAACCAACAACTATACCAAAAGCTTAGGCTCAGAATGCACAATATTATGAAACCAGAACCTATAGATCTTTTGGCTTTCCTTAGTTATAAAACACAGGAAAGTGTATTGGAAAGAGAAGTGTCAGAAAAGCCACAGGGCTCGACTCTGGTTGCTTTCCTTATCAAAATGCTTTCCTCTGCCTGGATCTGTTTAAAGCACAGTGTGAGTTCTTTTGGATGAGGGTAGAATTAACATGTCAAAGAGGCTCTGTTATACATTAGAACTTCAGAGCTAATAATATGACTGTCAGGAAAGGAAGTTGCCGAAATCTCCCAATGTTTCTTCCTTTGGTTTGAAAGCCAAGACTTGTTTGTTCAAAGCTTACTGTGAAGTCTGCCTGTAACATCCCCCCGCCTTGTCTACTTTTACCATTTTTTCAGCCATCTCTGCATTACTCTGCTCCAAACAGCTGTCACTTTCTCCCCAAAGATTAGGGAATAGGTGTCTGGAACTCAGTGAACCAAACTAAAAGATGTTATGTGCCTGAATGGTCAGTTTCTACCTGTGAACCTAAGTCTCACGCTTATGGGTGAAATTACATCTGTGTTTTTTAATAACTCTAGGATGATCCCTATACATGCAGCCACACAGTGATTACTGGGATCCGTGGGATGTAATCCATTAGTGCAGTCAAATGCAACATTCCTTATGTTTTCCTAGAATGGGCACAGGAAGGGGGACATCCAGTCAGTGTAACTTCCTGTTCCACTGGTCTGGAGCTTCCTCCCCCTGCATATGACCTGGGAGATGGGCAAAAGAGCCAAGTCATGCAACCATTTTTCTCTGTCTTCTTATGTCTTATCTTGCTTGCTTATCTTTTGCTGCCATGCTGTTCTCCTGCAGCCATTTTGTTATATTAATTTAATTTTGCTGTCTGCAGGCTCTCAGCCAGCAGCACAGGAATTCAGTTTCCAAAGGAAATGAACTCATACTTTGTTGTGTAACCACTAAGTAAAGCCTGCCTTTCAGGGATCATATCGTGAACTGAAATGTGAGTAAACTTTTTGTTACTTTACCAAAAATACTCTTGTGTCTTTATTCTTTTAAGAGGTATTAAAGGGGACACCAGGAAATAACTAAGAGATTCAAACAAATCTGCAAAATAGCTTCCAGCTATATTGAGGGGAATTTGCTCTGCGACATCACTCACTAGCATGAGTGAGGGAAGGATAATACTTATTCAATATATCCTTCCCTATTATCCTTAACATTCTCACAGGATAAACATTATTGAAGTGTCCTATATAAATGCACACTAAATGCAAAATCATTATTCATACAGCAGATACAATAGCTCTGCATATACCAGTGTTTGACATAGTGAATGCTGCAAGATATAAGATGTGCCTGAATAGTAGATGAGGATATGGAGTGAACTAAATTTTAGTCACAGTAGACCCACTGAAATTAATGAACATGACGAAGTTGGGTCCATTAATTTCAATGGGTCTGCTCTGAGCAAAACCTAGCTGACTGCCATCCATGGCCCCTACCTGCCCCTGTATTTCTGCACAGACATTATGTCTCCTTCATACTTGGTGATGTTCACTGGGAGACACATCTGCCACAGAAAGTCTGAACCAGCCCTACATATATCAGTGAGAATTCCTGCAACCTGCCTGTATTAAAGGAAATTCCACCTCCAGGCATGACATGATGTGTTGATGGCTTGTGAAGCGAAACAGAATTTAACTGGTGGTGACATGAATGGTATTAATTTTAAAAGGCTAAATAACCTTTCAGATAGAGGGAAAAGAAAAATACTGCAGAAAAGTATTAAGTTACCAGTTTCACATATTAAACAAAGCTTAGCTAGAATGTTGCGTGCATTATGATAACATCTGGCTAGCACCAGGAAAAAGAAATATTTATGCAGAAGCAGAAATGAGCAAATCTGTCAGCTTCACTTTCTCTCAATTTCCTACTCTTAAGTTCACTTCTCCACACTTCCATACCAGTTTGCATTCCGCCCCCACAAAGCAGTCCTCATGAAAATTCCTTGGCGTTTTATTGTGACATTCTCCCAATAAGCCATGTTTATGAAAACTTTGAAGAACAGCCATATTGTTTTGGAAGGTGCAAATTACGTAGGTTTGCCTTTAAATGTGAGCTGAATCAAACATCTCCCCTATCCCTAGGGGAAAGTATAGAATTCATCTGCTACTTACACCAGTTGTGTGAAGCTTCATCTTAAATTTCTCAAAATACAACCAGTGCTTTGATTCATTAGGATCTAGGTCATGATAGAAATCCCTGGCTGCGTAGCCAAAACTGTGGAATTTTCTTTCTGGAGTTAAAAGGATAGTGGTTGGTGTTTTCTGATTTGACACACCAGGATCTCCTCCTTCCCATCGCCTAAAATACAAAAGACACCACTTAAAATCAATGAAATTTTATCATCTTTTAACGTGCAGCCCAGAGAATACAACAGCTGTTTGGAGTGTATGCATTTATTTAAAAGCATTTCTAAATCACTTAATAGTTTTTATAAAAATCCCTAAGTGATACATCCCTAAGTTGTATACAAAAATCACATAAAAACAATCAAACAGGCTCATCAAATGAGTAAAACAGCTTTATAAAATCAGGTACAGGTAAAAAGGAGGAATTCAGAAAAATTATGAAAAGCATGTCGCAGATGATCACTCACAGCATAGCTCTAGGGTGGTGACAGCTCCGTAACCATAGTTAAGGATATGATTCAGGTTTGCATGCAATATGTAATGATAGCCAAGATTTATAAACTAACAAACCTTCATGGACATGTGTGGTTTAACCATGGTTAAGCTGCTCAGATGATCAACTAAACCATGGTTTAGTATGGTTAACTAAACTGTGGTTCATAAACCATGGTTAGCATTCCATGCAAACAAGCCTGGAGAAGAGAAAATGGAGAGGGGGGAAGAGGAAATCTCAAGGGTGCACAAAAATCTACATGTTACTGGCCCAACATATTTCAAAATATTAATCTTCAAGGGCACGACAAATAAGAACAATGAATGGTATACTCATTACAAATCAACGTGATAGCACTGTTAAATTGTTGCTTATTTCTAATTTGTAGAATCATCATCAAATGAGTATTTGATGCAATATATTACTATTAAACCAATTATACAACAGACAATATAACTAGTGATTCTTTGTTTTAATAGTATTCTATTATATAATTTGTATAAAATTATCATTATTTGTGGTGCCATGGAAGAAGAAATGCATTTTAAGATGCACTGGGACATTGAAGTCTTTATTTTTGTGCACACTTTAAGCTTTCCATCTCCCTTTCCCACCCCTTATTAATGGAGCGTCATCTGGTTTTTCTGGACAGTGGGAGAAAAGGGATGCTGGACCAGAAGACCTTTGGCATGATTGACAGGGCTTTTCTATTCAGGTTTGCTGGAGAAGCATGTAGGGGAGGAAGCAGGCTGCAGCAGCCTGACTTTTCCTCAGCACTCATGAATCTGGCTGGAAGCATATGAATATACCAAGTAGTGACACTGTTAATGAGCTTCAGAGAGAAAGTGAATGAGATTTAGATGGGTAGATGTTAAGGGGCCTGAAGAAAATCCTGGCAGTGTGCACAGAGCCACTTCTGCAACATCCAGCACAGATTGTCTTCCAGCTGCTTTCGCTGTCACTTTTCAGTCATCATTAATGCACTAGCACCAGAGAGCTAGATATCACAGCCTTTAAATTTGGTTTAGTTAGAAGAAGAAGAGGAAGAGTTTGGATTTGATATCCCGCCTTTCACTCCCTTTAAGGAGTCTCAAAGCGGCTAACATTCTCCTTTCCCTTCCTCCCCCACAACAATCACTCTGTGAGGTGAGTGGGGCTGAGAGACTTCTGAGAAGTGTGACTGGCCCAAGGTCACCCAGCAGCTGCATGTGGAGGAGCGGAGACGCGAACCCGGTTCATCAGATTACAAGACTACGGCTCTTAACCACTACACCACACTGGTAGTGTGGTAGTGTTAGTGAAATCATTAATAGGAAAAGCACTCTAACACACCAGAGCTTCATCACTCTCAGCACCACAAGAAGTACAAGAAGTTCCCCGGGTATATACAGTATCATCCGTCCCCAGCCTCTGAATTCCCCTTTTACAAATGTGCACTCAGTCTTGCAAAGGAATGAAGTCTCCATGCTTGCAAAGATCAACTTTGCTGAATGATTACATCCAATTCTTGAGAACTATCTCTATGAAGGCAAGCTCCTGATTTCTCTTCCTGTTATTTGGGGCAACAGATCTCAGACCAGGTCCACTGGCTATATTTTGGAGCATCTCAAAATGGCTCTAACTGGGAGTCATAAGCTACAGCGTCTAGGCATACTGCTTATACAAATCGAATGCTATGAGTACAGAATGTGGCCCAAGTCATCTCTATTTTTTATTTATTTCATTATTATTTATTTATTTCTGTGGTTTTTTTTACTAAAACCTATTCACTTCTCCCTTGTTTGCTATATGTATGTAAGAACCTGCCTTGCAGTGATTTAGGCATTTGTTCAATCTGCATTTCATCTTTCTGAAAAATAGTGAAGGCAGCTAACAAAAATAATATAAATACATAAAATTTAACTGTTGTAGATCCCACTCATATGAGGAATTCATTTTGTGCCACCTGATTTTCAAAAATTCCTGATTTTTAAAACTCTTACTTTCTTCTTCTTTTTGATGCTATAAAGTTATTGTTATAGACATTTCTATAAACTGCTGATTCCATGTTAGAGACAATTCCATGTTTAATTCCTTTTTTAGGGATAAAAGTATATTGAGTGAGTTTGTTTGTAGTCACCAGAATGTACAAAAATCCTATTGCTCAAAAGGTAAATGACATTACCTTAAGATGGCCGATTTCAAACACTTTAATTAGATTTTAATGAGCCTCTGATATTCATTGGGGGGGGGGGGGAGAAGGGAAGAGCCCAGGTAAGAGGGCATCTATTCTAAACTGGATTGTTCAGAGACAGAACCAAAACTGCTGCTTGTTAAATCCTACGCACCAGCTGCACATTCAACGCAAGAAATATACTGTTTTGATTGAGAGTCCTTAATGACTGTAATTTTGACTCATTCATGGAGTGTTATGTTAATAGAAAGTGCACTTATGAGTTGAATAACTGTGACAGCCATCTATTCCTTCCTAAATAGAAACTGCATTAGACCCCTTTCTGGGATGAACATCTTTGAACTTTAGTTCCATCAGCATCAGTAATCTCACTGGTATCATGGCTAATATTTGCAAAGATTTAGTCTTTGGAAAACACAATTCCTTTAATTTGTAGTACACACTGGATGCCCAAAATGTGATGCTACAGCAAGGCTGTGTACATTCAGTGATTGCACTGGACACTATACAAACCAGTACACAGACATACAATTCAGCTGCCAGATAATCTCTCTCTCCCCCCCCCCCCGCTTTATACAGTATAGCAGGTTTCTAGTCCATAAGGATACAAAGATGAGGGTGAAAATATGCAATGCCTCATGATATCTTAAAGAGGAGAGGGAAGGGGCTGAGGAGGATTGGGGGGTAGACCAGGGTTTAGACTTCAGTCCTTTACACCACAGTATGATAAGGAAAAGAAGAACAAATTGTGTGTAAATATTCTTAATATGCCCATTTCTTACACAGAAGCCCTGGGCTAGGATTATCAACTGAAGGAGTCTTGTGCCTTTAGTGCCATGTTTCATTTTTTTAAAAATGTATCTAATGCTACTGTTTTGTTTTTACAGGAATATTTCCTTCAAAGCCATGTTCTGGCAGACCTAGCCTCTAACTCATAGCGATGTTTATGCAGACGAAGATAACCCTACTGGGAAATAGGGCTTTAAATGTCTGTGATCCCCAGTGAACACATATCTGTGAGCTCACCAAAAGCTGCAGTGAGCCATCCATACAGCTCTCATTATATGATGACGTGCAAAGGTTAAAAGCGAAGAAAATTCTTCCAGAAAGGATTCCACTGGTGAAAATTTATAGCATAGCAATGCCTGTTTACGTTAGTTAGCAGAACTTTTGGACTTAATTATAGCAAGAAAGGAGGACCTAAAGGGCATGTTTTAGGCCATGGTGCTTCCAACGGTAGAATTGTTCCTCTCTTTATTCAGCTAGCTTGTCACATACAGTGGTACCTCTGGTTATGAACTTAATTCGTTCCGGAGGTCCATTTGTAACCTGAAACCGTTCTTAACCTGAGGTACCACTTTAGCTAATGGGGCCTCCTGCTGCCGCCGTATCGCCAGCTCACGATTTCTGTTCTCATCCTGGGGCAAAGTTTTTAATCCGAGGTACTACTTCCAGGTTAGCGGAGTCTGTAACCCAAAGTGTTTGTAACCTGAGGTGTTTGTAACCCGAGGTACCACTGTACCCACCTCTTCAGGAAAACCTTTCTGGGACCTTATGCCAAGACAGACCACTTGGTCCATCTAGCTCAGGGCTGTCTACACCAGGCATAGGCAAACTCAGCCCTCCAGATGTTTTGGGACTACAACTCCCATCATCCCTGACCACTGGACCTGTCAGCTAGGGATGATGGGAGTTGTAGTCCCAAAACATCTGGAGGGCTGAGTTTGCCTATGCCTGGTCTACACCAAGAGTAGTCAACCTTTTTATACCTACCGCCCACTAATGCATCTTTCTTGATGGTAAAATTTCCTTACCGCCCACAGTGCTCGATGGAAGGAGGATTCAGCTTGTGCTGTAGAACCCCCTACCGCCCACCCAGAATCCTGAAAAGCCCACTAGTGGGAGGTAGGGACCAGGTTGACAACCCCTGGTCTATGCTGATGGGCAGTGACTCTCTGCAGTTTCAGTCAGGAGTCATTTCCAGCCCTACCTAGAGAGACCAGGGATTGAACCTGCAATCTTTTCCATGCAAACCATGTGCTCTGCTACTGAGCTACAGCTGTCCCTCACCATCTCTGCACCTCTGTACTTTCCTGATTCTCCCTCACCTCTTCCCCACTGCACATTTACCAACCCTGAGCATCACTGCCTCATCCTTAATGTAGACTAGGAGAACTCTGGATAGGGACTTCTTCTGTTCTCTGCAGACTATTCTGCTGGTAATAAGGAAATGTTAAGCAACAGAAGAAGGATTCCGCTTTCTCTTCTGGTTCTTTGCAAGGCCAGGCTCAACTGGACAAGAGGACTGTGTGCATAGCTTTCTTAAAGGGAGGCTTTCCCTCACACAGATATCAGGTGTGGACCTGCCAATCCAGAATGTGGTCGCAGTCAGGGGTGGAGGGCAAAGAGTTAAAATTCCCCATGCCAGGGCCTCAATTTGGACTCGAGGTCCCATGCCTGCAATTTACTTTTAAAAAGTCATTCCCACAATTGCTGGTTGCATGAACGGCAGCACATCTGGTACGACAATGCAGCACACTCCTACCCCACCCCCACCCCTCCCTGCAGGACCAGCAGCAGCTGGTGAATCCAGAGGACAGGAGAAAACTTTTTGACCCTGGTGAAAACAGAGTGCGACACTGCTGTCCAATCTTGGCCCTTGCATTGCCAATGGGTGCTATGGCAGAATGTCTGGGCAATGAAACAAGTTGTCTGGGAAAGTCATAAAATCTTTCCTGAAGGTGTATTCCCCCCCCCCTTTTTTTTTTGGAACGGAAGAGTGAATGTGCATCTGTCAGGAATTATTTAGGTCTAACAAATCGGGCTAGTGCAGTGGAATGGATTACTGATCCTTGAAATTCCCTCCAGCTTTATGATTCCATGATTTTAGTTGGCTTCGCGATTTCTCATTTGCCTACTGTCAGTGCACAGTAAGCTTCACACTCGATTATCTGTCTGCGTGACTCACTTCATTGATTTATGCTGTTGCTGTATTAACAACTAAAGACAAGGAAGCATTTTTTAATTTTTTAAAAAAAGATCTGGAAAGGAAATATCAGAAAAAGGATCGATATACACCAGGAGGAAAAGCAGCCCGTTTTTAAACTGAAAAGAGCAGGGCTATAACTTTGAGATTTCTCAAGAGCACTGCAGATAGAAATGTCATTTCCTGTACATAAATATTATATTGCAAATGATTCTAATAATGTAAATATTGTCTTTAAAATACCCTCTACGCTACCAGTCATCACGCAGCTTGTATGTTACAGTTTAAATGTGAAGCTTCACATTTGATAAAGATGTGAAGGTTTAACACGCTCATGAGAATGTCTCCCCCAAATGTTCTTGTTACAAAGCTGAAAGAGAAGAATTCACTGGATCTGCTGACTGGATCGGACAGATTGCATTTTACTAACTTCCTGAGCATGCAACTATCAGTTTGCAATACAGCATTTGGAAGGCAAGCCACTATGGTAGTGCAAGAGAATAAAATGCCCATTGCCCCAAACTACCCAGCTATTCTGAACTCTTTCTTCAGTGAAATACATTTCATATTTCCAAGGCCCAGTAATGGAATTCTTTCTTTGCCTGACACCCACATCACAATCCTTGAGTTAGCCTGGATATTAAATTCACCACCCCAACCTCCCAGCAATTCCACTGCCAACCATTTGATGACCTTCCCACAGGGTTTTCTTAAGCTAATGTTTTGAAGTGGCGAAAACCGGGGCACCTTAGACCCTAGGGTCAAATACTGCCCTGCAGGATTCTCTATCTGGTCCACAGGCCATGGACCCTGCTAAACCACACACCTATGCCCTGGGAAATATGATTTTCTGGCTAAAATGTGTCCTTAAACTATGGTAACTCCTCTTGCTTATCTGAATGGAGGATGGAGAGGTGTGTGTCAGTGTAGAATCCTCTGCTTTTGGCTAGAATGTTGCCTGCTGCATAAAGGGTAAGCGTAGCCTCTCTTGCCCTGCACACCGTTCCTTCTGGCCCTGCCCCACACTGGCAAGAGGTCCCTGGAAGGAACACAGTCTTTGCACAGAAAAGAGCTCCCCACCCTTGGTGTATATTCACAGGCCCTGCACTCACTACGCATATAAGGCTGCACTGGTGACATTTACCTCATTACATGAATGCATTCTGGTTCCTTGGTGAAGCTGTAGGCGTAGCCGCTGGATGTCGTGCCAAAATCTATAGCCACAACAACAGGATAGGACTGCTCCTCTGCATCATTTGCATCAGAGTCCTTCTGTCAAAAGAACAGAAATATATTTGCTGTTATGTGATTTCAAGAAAGGGCTGCAAGCGTTACTAGCTCTATTTAAATGCCAAACACGACACTAATAATCTCCTCTGGAGTGACCGAAATTGGCAATCCCCAAATACCAGCAGGCCCCAGATGCTAGCTGGAACGGGAATTTAGCACATCACTAAGCCAATACTTAATTTTTGTGACTGTGATGCTGCCTCAGAAGAATGATGGCTGCACTCAAAATTCTTTGTACGTTCTGCAAGCTAAATGGGTCAGTCACTGATTTCAGAAAAGGGTGAGAAAAACACAACAGCAAGCTCCAGCTTGCCAATGGCATGTAGTTATTAAATCAATGTACTTTTAACGTATAAGGTAACTCACTTCAAATCAGAACCTGCCATGAGTGGGGGAAATGTTTATCTTCTTTACCTCCTCCTAAGAGCTTGTAGACATTATTCAGAGAGAAGGACCTTGGGATCAGTCTTTAGGGGGTGTGATCTGAATTCTGAATGGGAGAAGGAATTGCCTTCAGGATCAGTCCCAGATGTGCCCTTACTTCTCTGGCCTACAGAGACTGTGCTGCCTTTCTTTGTCTCCACCTCAGGTGCCCCTGTTCTGTCAGAGCCACCAACTACTAAAGCAGACTAGGTCCATTTAAATAAAAAGGGCTCCTCCCAGGCAAGATGAATTTAGTCTCTCATATAAGACTTCTACTAAAAGCTCAGTCTGGGGTTTGCTGCTGCTGAAGCAACATCTGTTCTTATGGAGTCTCTAGCTGGAATGAAATTTCATTTGAGAAATGAACTTTCCTAGAGAAAAAAGGGCATTGGAATAATTGTGATGTTATATACAAAGCTTGAAGCATACTTCTCACTCACCATCACAATAAAAATGATGATCGTTAACTAAGCCACACAAAATGTCAAAATAGGGCTCTCTGTGGAAGATTAAGCCTGACTTTGTGAAATTTTGCAAGCTCAGAACATTCTTGGCCTTGTCATGCAACGCAATCACTCAGTCTAGTACATTACCACATTGGTCTGCTATTCCAGGCCTTGATAGACTGAAGGTCAGTGCTGCTGACACAAACTATTTTCATCCTCAGCTTCAGGACAGTAGCAAAAAGGCTCTATCCCAAAAGTTCTCCTCTGCCAGCAGCAAACTCAACCTTTCTTTATTTATACATTTCGTACATTTACACTATTCTTTCCCTCCCAATTTTTCACCTTACAACAACCTTGCAAGGGAGGCTAGACTGAGAGACTGACTGGCCCAAGGTAACCCAGTTACTATAATGCTATCATTTTAGTCTGTAACCCACCTTGTGATTTTTTTATATGAAAGTGTGGTTTATAGATTTTTTTTAAAAAAAAAAGATGGGGAGAAACTAATACCAGTAATATACAGGCTACATTTCTCACCGCAATGTGGGATGGGGACAGAGGTGTTATCCCTGGATCTCCCAGACTTCTAGCTGGAGATGCATAGGCAGCTGTTGAAGCGACATCTGAAAAAAAATATGAGGAGCCTTTTAGTCAGCTGAATGTTCTTCAGAGCAGATAAACAAGTGAAAAAGATGCATGTTAGTTCATGACACCAACTTTGTCAAATGTGACAAAAACAGTCACAGAAATAAAGGCATCAGTGCTATGTTACTTGTCTCTGTTATTAATGACATAATTATTTAAATTTGACAATTAAATTACATTCTTCTAATAACAAATGAACTGAAACAAATTCATTTTGACTGGTCTTCAAAGGCAGCTAAGCATATGCCCAATGATTCATAGAGTGTAATGCAAATGGCAGCAGAGATGGAAGCTCTTTCTGGAACCTTCTTAGTGCAAATGTTGCATGCTGCACCACTGTGGTGTAGTGGTTAAGAGTCCTGGACTCAGACTTTACCTTGACCTGACACTTGTCTATTTTGGAAAGGACTTGCATGCCTCATCCCTCTTTTCCAGCTCAGAGGGAGTGGAGAAACTGGAGTTGGATCACAGGTTATCTGACTGATCTTTTATACCTGTGAAGAACCATCTTCAGGATACAGTGGTACCTCGGGTTACATACGCTTCAGGTTACAGACTCCGCTAACCCAGAAATAGTACCTCAGGTTAAGAACTTTGCTTCAGGATGAGAAGAGAAATTGTGTTCCGGCGGCGCGGCAGCAGCAGGAGGCCCCATTAACTAAAGTGGTGCTTCAGGTTAAGAACAGTTTCAGGTTAAGAATAGACCTCCAGAACGAATTAAGTTCTTAACCCTAGGTACCACTGTATAATAATATTTTTGTAGGTAATTTAAGAACTGCGCTGGTTGGAGAGTGGTGATGTCATGTAACCAAGATGGCAGTTTAATTTTTTCTCTCCCCAAACCCTGACAAACAAATGGCAAAAATCGACATTGTTTCACCTTGAAAAAAAGTCCTGACTTTAAATGAAGTATATTGGATATGACTCGGGGATCCCAACTTGCAAGGAAGAGAACTGAGGAACCATTTTGAAGCTTGGAATCCCATCTTGACAGGTAACAGGGAAACTCACACATCCATACTTAACACGGTACCCAAGAACCCTAAAGGCAGAAAACTTGATCTGGACACGATGACGGGAATTAACTCTGCTTTGACATGTAGAAAGATGGGTCTAATGCATTATTACCTTTCTGAAAAGAACTGCATTGGTTTCTTACAAGACTTCTCTCCTAATATTTGGATCTAAACATGGAGCGTATGACTGGATTAGATGGATATGTTTGCCACATGGTTATAGATCCCAGGTTTCTTTTACTTTCAGAAATACAAGCTGGGGCAGCAGAGATCAGAATCAGGCTGAAATAGCAGTGCATAGGGAACGTCCATTTACCTGCTGACCATGCTGCTAATTGCCCTGAAAATATGTTATTTCCTGCAATGGCATCTCCAGGGAAACAGTAATTCTGGGAGGGAATGGGGCAGTGGGGAATGGCTTGAGAGGAAAGCATCAGTCCCCTCTCCCTGCATGACACGGTCCTGATCTGGATTGTGAGAAGTGACACAGCTGCTATTTCCAAAAGAAAAAAACTGCCCAGATAGGCAACAACGTGGCAATCCTGTATTTCTTTTGGCACATATCACACATTGCAAAGCCACATGCGATTGAACATGACTCAGTTCATGGACTACGATGCATTGATGCTCCAACTATGACAATTTCACAAATATTGAAACCTGTGTGAAAAACCTGATGTTTGCCATGTGCCTGTTACTACTTTATTTTTAACACCTCTCAAGAAGGAAGAGGTTGATTTGTATTCCAGTGTAGCTTAATTTAGCTAATATTGCACCTTTTTTTCTCTGGGGTTTCCATGGACACCACAGTGGAGCACACATCCTGTAATCAAAACAGTGGGGGGTACTGCTTAAAGCTTGCACTGCCGTAAGAGGCTTTTGCATCCAAAACATAAGCTGCCAGGACAGCATTTCCCCTTTCCCTGCTTTTGCCTCATCAAGTCCTCGGTAGCCTGGACAGTGAAATCTAAAGGTCATTATTTATTTGGGAGTTTTCGTATATGGTCAAAAAAACATTTAGTTTCTTCCACTGCATCAATGCAGTCAGGCTGATCTCAACAAAACCGTATTTCTTCATCTTATTTTTATGGCATTCTTCATTTGCAGAGCTTTGAAACTTGCTTCCTAAAAGCAGACTCAGGATTGTTGTCATCCAGGGTGGAGATCCAACGCACAGTTGGAAAAAAGCAAGTCCCACTGAATAAATGTGGGGGTTAGAATAACCCTGTATAGGTTCACATGGTTAAATCTCCTGCTCCTTCTGTGCAAAGATGATGGCGCAAAGCAATGTGAACACAAAGCAGAAAGGACCGATTCAGCCCATGGCTGAATGTCATGTAGAAAGCCTCCTCAGATATTCCACCATCTTCTACGACAAGAACAGGGAATGTTGGTGTTGTTGAACTCCAACTCACATTAGCCCCAGCCACCATGGGCCACTGCTCTGGGATGATGGGAGCTATAATCCAGAAACATCTGAAAGACCACTGGCACCCCATCCCTGCTATAAGAACTACCCACTCTTTGTGGCTATTCCATCATCCTGTAAGAAGTGAATTGATGTTGCCCTCCAGGACATGAATGATCCATCCTACTTTCTTACAGATGCAAGCTCAGAAGCTGGAGATCCTCTGCAGCTGCTGGCACCGGCAGTGCTCTTTCATTTTAGGGATTTAAAAGTCACAAATTGCTGCTAAAGCAACTTGCATTGGGTTTGTTCTCGGTCTATAATCCCTCTTTCCTCCTTATTTTTATAGCACTACCTGTATCATCAGAACTGCTGCATTATGAACAATGGCAGAACTATTTGCTTGTGTCATTCCGAAATGAGAGGGGGAAATGCTTCAACATACTGTTGGGAATAGTAAATGTTATGAGCAGACCATCTTTGTCAGGAAAACCGCATGAACAGATCTTACCCAGAGAAATAGCTCAAAACCACACACTCCAATTTGATGAAAGCTTCGGAAAAATAGTCACACTTGAAAACAGAGGTCAATAAAGACACTTTACAGCACAATGCTATATAGTGGTACCTCTGGTTATGAACTTAATTCGTTCTGGAGGTCCGTTCATAACCTGAAACCATTCTTAACCTGAGGTACCACTTTAGCTAATGGGGCCTCCTGCTGCCGCCGCCACATGATTTCTGTTCTCATCCTGAGGTAAAGTTCTTAACCAGAGGTACTATTTCCGGGTTAGTGAGTCTGTAATCCGAACTGTTTGTAACCTGAGGTGTTTGTAACCTAAGGTACCACTGTATACATATGTCTACTGAGAAATATGACCCACTGAGTTCAATCAGGCTTTCTCCCAGTAAGTGTATACAGTACAGGATTACAACTTCAGAGAAGAGATGGTGTCTTTAAAGATGCAATTCTGTGCATACTTCCCTGGGAATAAGCCCCACGGAACACATTGAGAGTTCCTTCTGAGTAAGCATGCAAAGGCTCAGCCTGCAAAAGTGTTACAATGCTTCCTAATGGTAATTGCTGTAACCGCCGCCCTAGATTTAGATGCCCCTGGGGTGAAATGTGCTTTCCATACCAATACAACATGAATCAGCCTTTTTTGGACTGTCTTCATAGTGATTCGGGAGGTTCCTTGCATAAAGAATGGGCATCTCTACTCTTGTAATTGGATTACCCCAGTTCAGAACCTGACTGCTTCAATCCGCAGGACCTGCACTTTTACAAGTGCCATATAATGTCCTGAAAAGATGGAAGTACTGTGGGTGGATCAGGTTCCTAGTCCAGGGAGTCTTTCCCCTTCAGTAATTGAGAAGTGGGCGACCTCAACCACCTGTCAAAGTGGTCTGCTGGGCTTGGGAGGGATCTGGATCCAATCCACCAGTCAGATCCAGTTCCTCACCCCTGCACTAGAAGCACCCATTGCAGGCATGGGGTGCACTGATGCCATCAACCTATGCTGCCACAGCTGCCTCTGCCTCCCTTGCAACACTCTCACAGCAAGAACATGGGCATTTCTCCCTTTAGATGCTCCTAAGCAGTGGTGGCCCCATATTTCCTTTCTGCCCATTGCACCAGTTATTATCAATTGTTATTACCAATTATGGATAATTATCTAGCATGCTCTTGAAAGTAAGCCCCACCAAATTATGTAGTACTTAATTCCTGGAGATTTGAATAGGATTGATTAGATGTACACAGACCAAATAAGGAATAAGGCTTTGTTAATAAAGCACTGTAGTTCTACTAGGTCTTAAATGGAAAGGTTTTGGTTCCTTTAAAACCTTTCTTTGTAAAAGCATTTAATTAAATGTAATAAACAATGATTCACTTCCTACAGTGTCAATTTCATATTTGGAACATACAGATACAGTGGTACCTCGAGTTACATACGCTTCAGGTTACATACACTTCAGGTTACAGACTCCACTAACCCAGAAATAGTACCTCAGGTTAAGAACTTTGCTTCAGGATGAGAACAGAAATTGCGTGGCGGCGGCGGCAGCAGGAGGCCCCATTAGCTAAAGTGTTGCTTCAGGTTAAGAACAGTTTCAGGTTAAGAACGGACCTCCAGAATGAATTAAGTGCATAACCAGAGGTACCACTGTATGCATTATGAGACTGGATGCGCAAATGCAAGGTCGGTGCTTGAGTACTGGAATACTTCTGTTGCAGCCTTAGGATAGAGGAACTCTATGCTACTTTCGAGCTCAGGGATGTTTTATTAACATAGCCAGGGCAAATGCTAGAACAGCATCTCTTCCAGCTGTGCCTCACTTGCTTCCAGTGGTGGACATTGTGCTCGCCCATCACCGTCATCTGGTCCGTCACAGCTGCTGTTTACCATGAGAGGGGCGGGCAGGCGGGCGAGGTGAGCACAGTGCAAATTCACTGGCAGGAGCTCCAGACTGGATCCACAGGTGTGTTTGGACACTAACCTCTCCCCCCTCTCCCTGGAAGTAAGCAGCAGCAATGCCACCAGGTGTCAGGTGA